TCTTCTCCACTCTCCTCTCAGGATCTTGGGCATGCACACACAAATGCCCAGCGTGAGTTTTAAGCCTCTGGGTCCAAGACTCGAACTGTGGTCGACTATATAGGAGTCCAGCAACGTAAACACTACGCTAACTGCTGGTCCCTAAATCCACATCTTTATATGTACAGCTCACTCTCTTAAAAGCAATATTTATGAGGACCAGCAGTAAGTGTAATGGCTGGCTACGGTGCTGGACTCCCACACAGTCAACCACAGTAAGAATCCCGGACCCCGTGGCTTCAACTCATGCCGGGCGCGTGTGTGTGCGTGCCCAAGATCCTGAGAGGAAAGTGGAGGAGAAGGGATTGCAGCATAGCCATCCCCCCTGAGGGGTGATTTCTCACTTTCTGTCTCTCTCTGTCATCCTGGTGAGCACATGTGTCTTATAGCAAAAACCTCCCCCCACCAAAAAAAAAAAACCCCAATATCCATCGAAAGCTTAAAGGAAGAAAGTAGGCCATCTTAATCCTAATGGGGGATTCATTATCTTTAAAAATGGATGAAAAAAATGCACTAACTTGCTAGACTAAATGTTTCCAACCACAACCCACCGCTTACATTTTGTGTTGGTTCTTTCATTAAGGCCTTCCTGCACCCCTTTTATATCCCTCACCTTCTGTCATGAGAAAAATGTTACATATTCTGAAGTTTTAAAGCGTGTTACAACACAGAGCCACTGCTGAGCTGAAAATGTATCTCAGGACAATGGAACTCCGTAGCTGCTGGCCGGTCTCCACCTTCCCACAAACTCTCTCATATCCTCCTATGTCCGCTCAGAGAGGCCCAAGTTGGAGCTGCAATTACCACAAACTAAAAATAAGAACTACAACGTGTAGTTTATTGAGGGCCAGCTCTGTGGCCTGGTGTTTAAGGGAGCTGGGTCCCACACAGCTGACCAAACAGTTCAAATCCTGGTCCCAGTGGCTTGAAAAATATATCAGCTGTGTGTGTTCCCAAAGTCCTGATGGGAAGGACCAGCTGGTGGCATGGTGGTCAAGGCTGGATCCCATGGAGCTGACTGCAGTTCAACTTCTGCACCTAGCAGCTTGGAAAATAGGCTGGGCGTGTGTGCTCAAAACCCTGTGAAGAGGATAGAAAGGAGGGGAGCAGCCATACTCCCTGGGGGGGCAGGAGATTTGTCATTTTGCACCTCTCTGTTTCTCTCCAGCAACATGAACCTTATAGCAAAAAAAAAAAAAAATAAAAAGGTGGTGGGGGGGAATGTGCTGGGATCATGTCCCATTAGGGAGTGCTTTCTCCCATCCTCTCTCTCTCTCTCTATTGAGCACACATGCCCTCTGGCAACTTAATAAACAAGAAAAAAATAAAAAAAAAATTGGGAAAAAAGCTCTTTTCTTTAAAATAAAAACTCTGGGCTGGCAAGTAGTATGGTGGTTAAGGCTCTCAAATCCCATATGGTTGACTACGGCTGAGTCCTGGACCTGGCAGCTTGCACTCGCTCTCTCTCTCTCACAAATCGAAGAATAATAAAAAATTAAATAAATAAATAATTCTTTTGGGACCAGCTGTTAGTGTAATGGCTGTGTTGCTGGACTCCCATGTAGTCGACTGCAGTTCACATCCCGGACCTGGTGGCTTAAAACTCACGCCAAAGTGTGTGTGTATGTGTGTGCCCAAGATCCCGAGGGGAGAATGGAGGAGAAGGGATTGTGGTGTGGCCATCCCCCGGGGGAGTGATTTCTCGCTTACTGTCTCTCTGTCTCTCTCTGTCTGCCTGGCGAGCGCACGTGCCCTATAGCAAAAACCTCTTAAAAAAAATAAATAAATAAAATAAATAAATAATTCTTTTAAAAATAAACACACAGAAACTTCTTACAGTGAACATTCAAGTTGCTTCCTCTTTTTTTTTTTTTTTTTTGCCACAGGGTGTATGTACTTACTGGAGAAAAGACAGTGAGAGGGAAAATGAGCAATCACCCTCCTTTTTCCCTCCTTGGGGCCAGCAGATGGCATAGTGATTCCATTGCTGGACTCCCACATGGCCACTCACGATTTGGTGGCTTAAAAAATCATGCCAGGTGTCGGGAACCAGCAGTTAGCGTAATGGCTATGTCGCTAGACTCCCACGTAGTCGACCGTGGTTCGTGTCCCGGACCCGGTGGCTTAAAACTCACGCCGGGCGCGTGTGCATGCGTGCCCAAGATCCCGAGAGGAGAATGGAGGAGAAGGGATTGTGGCGTGACCATCCCCCCTGGGGGGTGATTTCTCGCTTTCTGTCTCTATGTCTCTCTCTGTCTGTCTGGCGAGCGCACGCGCCCTACAGTGAAAATCTCTGCCCCCCCAAAAAAAAAAAATCATGCCAGGTGTGTGCATGTGTGCCCAAGATCCCAGGAGAAGACTGGAGGGGAAGGGACTGCAGCATGGCCATCCCCCACAGGGGATGATTTCTCACGTTCCCTCTTTCTGTCTCTCTCTTGTGAGCACATGGGCTCTAAGGCAAAAACCTAAAAACACAAAAAGAAATCACCGACAATGAGACAACTTCTGAGTCTGAAGGTAAGCCGGCATGCAGGCGAGCCAGAGAACACCCGAGTATTTCCTCAGAATCTCAGGACAAGATAAGACAAAAATAAAGTGGCAAAAGCGTTCCATTTCTGTCTTTAACTTGTTTTTGTGTTCACTATTTAACGTTCCGATGAGCAAGAGCGGTAGCAGGTGAGGTATCACATATGCAATTAATCTTCATGCTATGAATTCTTCCACCCGTGCTCTCCTCACCTGACTCCCTAAAACCCATGTAACAATGGCTGCTTGTGCTGATCATCCTGGAATCATGAGGAGAGTAGTTAACTGTAAGCCTCTGAATTAGAGTTACATTAGTTACGTAACAACTAATGTCATCCTTTCTTAAAATAATGATTTTGCAAACTTGTCAGTTTTATGACCACTTTTAGAGTCCTGTCACTATTTTTCAGGTATTACTTTGTTTTGGAGTTTTCAAGGAAAGGGAGAGGGAAGTACTACTAGTGAATGCATTTAAGTAATATGTATACAAAAATGGCTATTTTTGTATTTTTTTCTCCCTAGGAATTAGGTAATCCAAATTATTTCATTCTCACTGTAAAATGATACCATCGTAAAGTGACTTACTGTTAGTCTTTTTTTAAACACTAATTAATAGTCTCTACACAAAAGCACTGTTATTTTCACAGCTGATTTTAGGTTATTTCATGTTATTCTCTATAGATGAGTATACATATTTGTTAAAGTGTTGCCGTAATGACTGAAAATTTTTGAAAATCACAGACATCATTAAAAGAGTTTTCGAATTTTTAAGTTTGCTTATCTTTAGAATCAGAGGAACTGTACAGAGAAAGATTTCCAAATTACGAATGTATGAAGGTGTCATTTGAAATTTCTCAACTATTATTCGTGCAAAATGGAAAGACAATATTTATACATCTAAGTAAACTGTCTTAAAAGATCATTTGATTAACATGCAAAATAGATCAGATACTTAATAATAAAATAAAATATATTATCATTTAAATCTGTAAAACAAAATGAATCTGACTTGTTTTATTTTTCTTGAAAATTTAAAGGACTTACTTCTTTGAACCAGTAAGATACTAACAGATTAATCTAATGAAAGAGAAAACAAGAACATTCAGGGGATAGAGAAAAGAGGAAAGACAGGAAAAAGCAGAGAACATATGCAGCATAGTTGCACATACATGTTATATGATTTGAATCAAGCTATTATCCCCTGAACAAACATGTTAATTTTGGTAGAGAAACATTCATTAGAATAAAAGTAAGTGGGACCAGCAGTTGGTGTAATGGCTATGTCACTGAACTCCCATGTAGTTGACCGCAGTTCAAGTCCCGGACCTGGTGGCTTAAACTCACGCCAGGCACATGTGTGTGCGTGCCCAAGATCCCGAGAGGAGAATGGAGGAGAAGGGATTGCGGCATGGCCATCCTCCCAGAGGATAATTTCTCGTTTTCTGTCTCTCTTTGTCTCTCTCTGTTTTTCCAGCGAGCACATGTGTCCTATAGCAAAAAGTGTTCCAAAAATAATAATAATAATAATAAAAGTAAGCAATAGATGATTATGAGTATAATTATCATTTCTGGGTGTAATGGCTATGGCTTACTGTGTGATTTTTAAATTCATTTATTAAAATGAGAATCTCTACAGAAAATAAGAGTGAAAGTGAACCTCAGCATGAGAGCTATTAAGAAAGATGCTAATTAAAATAGTGGATTAACCATTTTATATTCAGTAAGAGGACACAGCACCCTTAACAATATTCCATGTCAATGTCCTTGACGCTACAATTCTGAGTACCATGAGGTTCAAAATGCTTTTAAGAATTCTTGCTTATTTTCTTCCTAAACAACATGTGAAAGTACGACACATAGAAAAACATAACATTAAGATGGCATAAAAGCTAGAGGTTAACATTTTTATCCCAAATACAAGCTGATGTTTAGAAAAGGTTGATAACTGGCATTATGTCTGAAAAGCAGAGAATACTGAAGCATCTGATAGTTCTGTTCTCCCTAGCTTGCTGAAAGGTGTTATTTTTCATCTGATGGAGGTAAAAAATTCACTTCAGTTAATACAGTGATTTTAAAGGATGTTATAATCAGGGCTATACCATTTAAAAATAAAACCTACAACATGAATGTGGAAAAGAAATGGTACTAGAATAATGAAGCAGTGAGGTCATACTATTCCTCCATCTTCACAGATTTATAGCTGTAAAGATTTGTCATCATCCTGTTTTGAATCCTGTTTAATTAATGACTCTGTGGTTGTCACTATCAAGACTCACAATCCATATTCCAGAGCTCAGGCTCTACCCTAGCCACTGTTGAGAGATTCTAGAAAGTCAAGGAGATACAATTTGGACAAAGACAAAGGTCTCTCACAAAAGTAGCCTTGACCAAAATCAACAAAAAGCAAATGTATCATGATTCGTTTTATGTTTTACCTCTTGAGGAAGTTCTAGTTTAGAACGGTCGGTTCCTTCTTTTGACTGAAGGCCCATCAGATAAGGGACAGGAGCATCGAGAAAATGCAGCAGAGAAGCAGGGAGGATGGGCACATAAACATGCTGCCATTGAAACGGGAACAGAAGTGTGGTGATGCCTTCCGCCACCGTCATCAGGCGCTGATAATCTGCACGGACAAAGGAGAACAGAGGAGAAGAGACCAAGTAAGGACAATCACTGCCTTAAAACAAGGGCTGAAAATAACATTTCAACACAAAGAAAATGTTTCTTTACGATTAAGCAGAAAATACTTTCTTTCTATTCCACCATACTTAGTTAAATGTTTCACTTGACTGGGTTTAAGGTGGTGGGGGTAGGTGGGAAACACCATCGTTTTCTCTGCTTCTTAAAATTCCCTGGAATGTGAATTTATACTCCCTTAAGATGTTTAAGAATCCTGAACTAAACAATGTCATTTTGACACTTAGCCCATTGAAAAGCACAAGATACATCCTGGCTATCATGTGTCATTGACTGATTACATTGTATTTAGTTTAGCCCTAATTTTGTGGGTACAAAGAGAGTCAAACAGATACATGCATTCATAGTCACACTTCCTACATGTATCCCTTAACTATAGAACTATCACATCTAGGGATAAAAGCTACTCAGAAGAAAATTAAAGGTTGGTTTTGGTTGTGCCTTGTTTATATGAACTAATTCATCAAAGGTAAAAGTGAGGAGCTGGGTCTGGCCTCATAGCCTAATGGTTTCAAGAGCCAGATCCCACGTGGCAGACCCAAGACTGGCCTCAGTGGCTTGAAAAACACAGCAGACATATGTGGGCACACGCATGCTCAAAATCTTGATGAGATGCAGAGCTGGAGGAGGAGAGACTGCTGCATGCACACGACCAATCATTGCAGGTACCCCTCCCATCTCTCTGATAAGTATATACTCCGGCAATTAAAAAAAAAAAAAAAAAAAAAAAAAAACACAAAAAACAAACCAATAAAACCAGGCCTGACAGTGGTACAGCAGCAAATCACAAAACTCTTTGAGGCTGATTCACACTGGAAGGTTCCAGGTTTGTGTCTAGAGACTTCCCTGAGTGTGCCCACGATCCAGCACTGGCTGAAGTTGGGGATGGGTGGTGGTATCAGTACCCCATGGTGTGTGTGGGGGTGTGTGCTCACTTCTCGGGGGAGAGAGACTAACTAAAAAACAAACAAACAAACAAAAACAAGGACCAGCAGATGGCATACTGGTTACATTGCTAGACTCCCACATGGTCAACCACAGATTGAGTAATGGACCCAGCGGCTTAAAACTCAGTCCAGGTGCGTGTGTGTGCATGTCTGAAATCCCAAGAGGAGAATGTACTGGTTGTGGCCATCCCCCTTAGGGGGTAATTTCTCACTTTTTATCTTTCTGTCTCTCTGCAAAGCATACAAGTCCTACAGCAAAATCTCTCTCTTAAAAAAATTAAAAACAGTCCACAATACTCAACTGTCCTCTAGAGTCATTGTGCCATAAATGTTTTGTACTTCTGTATGTCCACAATCTCTATTTAAACCCTTGGAAATAGATGTGTTTTAGAATTCAGATTTTTTTTAAAGAGATTTTTTTTTGCTATAGGACACATGGACTCACCAGAGAGACAGAGAGACAGAAAGCGAGCAATCACACCCTCCCCAGGGGGTGGAGTGAGGGGGAAGGCCAACACTGCAATCCCTTCTCCTCCATTCTCTTCTCAGGAATTTGGGCATACACACACATGCACCTGGCGTGAGTTTCAAGCCATAAGTCCAGCACTCAGACTGTAGTCTGACCATGTGGGAATCCAGTGCCTTAGCCACTATGCCACCTGCTGGTCCCAAAATTCAGACTTTTTTTTTTTAAACTTAGAAAATATGGTGCCCATACCATATGTAAGAACCATCTGGGACAACATTCTGTAACCAAATACAGTAGTATTTTCACAGTAAATCACACCAGTGTCACAGGACAGAAAAATCAAACATAAATTGGCTCACTTCGGTTTAGGTCTGGTTTTGCTGATAAATGAGGTACAGAAAGAATGTTCGGTTTTCAACATTTTTTGGACTTGAGAATTGAAGATAAGGGATTATAAACTTGTAACTGTCCTCCCACAGAATCCACTATACATGAATTTGGGGCAATCTAGAGAAGATGACTCTGGGAAGTCTTTCAAAAAAGGTTAAGGAATATGGTCAAAAGTTGCTTGATTCACATCAACTGAAAAAACCTGACCTAGCATAAACAGGTCTTTTCTTGTCACTTTATACTTTTTTTAACATTTAAACTACATTTAACAGTTCACTACAAGACCTTGGTAGTGAATCATCAGTTACCCATCCATAGCCCATGTATACTTAAAACTGTCCTTATTTGATTCATTATTGAGACTTAAGTTTTAGGTGAAAATTTATTTACGAGAATCCTAAAGCAAACACCAGGTGGCCTGAAGGGCAGAGGTAAGCCATGAGCACAGAGCTGACTCTATCACTTTGCATGGACATCTTCCTACCCTCCACCCCAGGGCTAGCCGAGCCCACAGAAGCAGCAGGCCTGCAACAGAGCATACTCCGTAGAGGTGAGGGCGTGGTGGGCAAGAGAGACTATCCGTTTCCTGCCACTCTGCTACGAATCGCAGATGCCTGAAGACCAGGCTCTTCTCTTTTCTCATGGGGTGCGGTGAGCATGGGAGACGACCTGAAACCCCTGAGCAACTGGGGGTTGGATGGCCCCTACGTTTAGAGGCTCTGGTCAGAACTGCAGCTCTGCACTATGGCAGGACTCCAGCACCACACCTGCACCGCAGTACTGTCCCTCCTTCACTGTGGGTCCCCTGAGGGCAGAGTGGCTTCTGTTTTTATATCATGTTCCCCACAAAGCACAAGCCTAGTTCGCAGTCGGTGCTGACCGCCATTTACCGACAACAGGAATGTTGGACTTTCTCCTCTTATGTTCAACAGTCCCAACGACACACAAAACTCGGGCAGGAAGACGAGCCAATTAACCGTCATCCAGAGACACGTCCTCACATTCTGTTCTGTGCCATTGCTTCAACCATGGACTGAGGTATTTGAAAAAGACCTTCTGTAACCCCCATACATAAGCTCAAGAGGTTCAAAAATGTTTTTGAATAAATAAGTGGATAAGATAGGTAAGATAGGGAAAAATAATATAGGGATAGATAGGTTAAGGTAAAGATAAAGATAGGACGAGATAAGCAAATAAGTTGGATAAGCTATAATTTTGCTGGATATCCAATTTAAGGAGACTTGCTTAGATTTTTGTCTACATGAAACTGAAGAACTAGCAGCTGGCAGGTGGCGTGGTGGTTAAGGGTGCTGGACTCCCACATGGCCGACTGTGGTTCGAGATCCGTACCTGGCAGTTTGCTTTCTCACTTTCTCTCTCTCACTCTGTCCCTCTCTGGTCAGATAAACAGACAGATAGATAGATACAAAAAATTGATAGATTACTTAAAAAAAAAAAAAAAAGGAAATTAAAGACCCACTCATTCTTCAGTCAAAGAAAATGGTAACCTCTCAGACAAGATGCGAGTCCCTGAAAAACATCACGGTTCCTAAGATATTCACATACTCAGTTAATTACGTGCTTGCCCAGGCACACTATGAGGAAAATGCAAATACCCGTATACTAGGCCCTGCTGACTGTTCATCACACCCAGAACCTTTACCAGGGGATTCATTCTAGCGATACAATCTAGAACTCTGCTTAGAAACAAAACTATGGTGGGACCAGCAGTTAGCATAATGGCTATGTCGCTGGACTCCCATGTAGTCGACTGCGGTTCGTGTCCCAGACCCGGTGGCTTAAAACACGCTGGGTGCATGTGCATGCGTGCC